GAGTTTCGCAGACGTGTACACCAGTGGGGGATGAATGGTCGCAGAGCTAGAGAAATAAGAATAAATGTCACATCTGCCTGGGGACAACAACAATATCGGGAGTTGGGGGAAGGGGAGACAAGAGAATAGGGCGCAGTCACACGTCGTTGTTACATACATGACCGGTTTTAGTTTCTTCATCCACTCGAGATATCACAAGCCTGTGTCATGTCGAGTGGGGGATCTTGGAAACTTTCATCAACTTGCTTTGTTTTCAATACTTGAAACAAAATCCAAACAACGAATCCGATTCGTTCTCAAAATCTAAATCCGCTTTGCTGATGAAAACTCAATTTTGGGATACAGTAATAAGGTCCCTATACCTAAATCTGTATTTACCTAACTTTGTTACTCTCTAAATCCGCTTTTGACGACGAAAAACGAAAATTAAATTTAGCTCTGAGGTTTATCTGAATTCTAAATCCCCTGTGTTCCTGTTTTACAACGTCAAACAAATGTGAGTCCCAAAGAGTTCTCACCGAATTCAGCCGTACAAATGACGAGTGCTTGAAGCCAACAAGAAAACAGCCAAGATGGACGTTTGCCTGCAATGAGTGATGGGAGCCAACACTACAGACGAGATGACATCATTCACTTACACCTCGTCTCACACGGGAAGTTCAGGCCAGGGAAAATACGAGGGGTCACCGTCCCCAGCTAGTGTTGTTGTCTACCGGCACTAATCTGTAGCTGTCCACACAGGCCCATCTCACTACCAGAGTTTCTTCCAGGCATCTCTTCGGGGGGGGGGGGCGAAGCCCCCCCCCCCCGAAAATTTTTTACCGCCCCCCCCCCCGAACGAAATGAAATTTATATAATTTATATAGAAAATATATACTTTTAACAGTGTCCGCCCCCCCCCCGAAGATTTCAAGTGCCCCCCCCCCCGGAGAAAAAAGTCTGGAAGAAACACTGCTCACTACCAGTTATAGCTGGAGTCTAGAGTCCCCCAGCTAGATGTCTATCGAGGGTGGTGTTCTAATTCTCAGCTATAGCTGTTGACTAGAGCCCCCCCCCCCCCCAGCTAGATGTCTATCGAGGGTGGTGTTCTAATTCCCAGCTATAGCTGTTGTCTACACACACAAGGTTTACAGCCCACAGCTAACTGTTGTATCACGCCCGCTACAAGTGTCACAATGTGTATCACAAGCATATGCAGGGGATTAAAGTTTTCACTATGTCTTTATTCTAATTAAACAAACCTACGCTGAGACACAATTAAACAATTTAAACCAAGTTTTATTAACACCTCCATTAGAATACTAATTTACTCGATGGGTTTTTTAATATATTAAAAATTTCTTGAATAGTGTAAACTACGTGTTTGTTATAACAAGCAGGAAATAGAGCCTGTCAGATTAAGGTGAGTGACATTAGTATCATTTTACTGCTGGAAAAAATAACGAAAGAAGTTGTTGGCATTTAACATACGTCAGAGGGTTGGAGAAATGCATGTTGGAACGAATAACGGAAGGTGTGGAGGGGAGGGGAAGGTCGAGGGAATGAGAAGCGCCTAGCGATGTTTATTTGTTCTTTCTGTACACAGACTTTAAGTCATTTGATTTGTCTCATATGTATTTGTTTTTAATCTTCGCTTTACCAAACAGGTGAGGGATTCTTCCATGTACAAAGAAACAGTAGACTAGGAATACTAGGATCGTGTTTGAGCTGACTTATCAAAGAACAGATACTGTAACAGGCGCGTTACCCTTACCTTGTGCGAACAAAAATATGCACAATAAGCATTTCATTTAATTTGTTTTAAAATAATTAGGAGAAGTAATATCATTAATTGTCACATTCCCCCCCCCCCCCCCCCCAGTAAGATAATCCCCGGCAGCAATTATATATTACTCTAACTGTGACAAGCTGTCTGCCGACCAGACGTAAGCTGGACGGACACATTAATAGCGGTAGGAACATTAGCCTGCGTGCAGTAGTTCAGCCATGACGCGATGGGAGTTACGTGACTTCTAAACAAAAGATGCACCAGTCCAAGGGACATAATACTAGACCAGTTGTTGAGTTACGTGTAACAAAAGATGCACCAGTCCAAGGGACATAATACTAGACCAGTTGTTGAGTTACATGTAACAAAAGATGCACCAGTCCAAGGGACATAATACTAGACCAGTTGTTGAGTTACGTGTAACAAAAGTTGCACCAGTCCAAGGGACATAATACTAGACGAGTTGTTGAGTTACGTATAACAAAAGCTAAACCAGTCCAAGGGACATAATACTAGACGAGTTGTTGAGTTACGTATAACAAAAGCTGAACCAGTCCAAGGGACATAATACTAGACGAGTTGTTGAGTTACGTGTAACAAAAGCTGCACCAGTCCAAGGGACATAAAACTAGACGAGTTGTTGAGATACATGTAACAAAAGCTGCACCAGTCCAAGGGACATAATACTAGACGAGTTGTTGAGTTACGTGACTTCTAAACAAACGATGCACCAGTCCAAGGGACATAATACTAGACGAGTTGTTGAGATACATGTAACAAAAGCTGCACCAGTCCAAGGGACATAATACTAGACGAGTTGTTGAGTTACGTGACTTCTAAACAAAAGATGCACCAGTCCAAGGGACATAATACTAGACGAGTTGTTGAGATACATGTAACAAAAGCTGCACCAGTCCAAGGGACATAATACTAGACGAGTTGTTGAGTTACGTGACTTCTAAACAAAAGATGCACCAGTCCAAGGGACATAATACTAGACGAGTTGTTGAGTTACGTGACTTCTAAACAAGAGATGCACCAGTCCAAGGGACATAATACTAGACGAGTTGTTGAGTTACGTGACTTCTAAACAAGAGATGCACCAGTCCAAGGGACATAATACTAGACGAGTTGTTGAGTTACGTGACTTCTAAACAAGAGATGCACCAGTCCAAGGGACATAATACTAGACGAGTTGTTGAGTTACGTGTAACAAAAGATGCACCAGTCCAAGGGACATAATACTAGACGAGTTGTTGAGTTACATGTAACAAAAGCTGTAGCAGTCCAAGGGACATAATACTAGACGAGTTGTTGAGTTACATGTAACAAAAGCTGTAGCAGTCCAAGGGACATAATACTAGACGAGTTGTTGAGTTACGTGTAACAAAAGATGCACCAGTCCAAGGGACATAATACTAGACGAGTTGTTGAGTTACGTGTAACAAAAGATGCACCAGTCCATGGGCATACTACTAGACCAGTTGTTGAGTTACATGTAACAAAAGCTGCACCAGTCCAAGGGGCATAATACTAGACGAGTTGTTGAGCTACGTGTAACAAAAGATGCACCAGTCCAAGGGACATAATACTAGACCAGTTGTTGAGTTACATGTAACAAAAGATGCACCAGTCCAAGGGCTAGAATACTAGTCGAGCTACTTTGCCAACACTCATATAAAACAACCAAATGAGATCTTAAAAACCTGTAAAAAAAAACTTAACAAATAATCCAAGTTGCTTTGTCAACAATTAGAAAAGGGACCCAACAAAATAAAAGTCTATCGTAGAAACAGATCATGCAGATAAGATCATAGCCTTGCTATTTTATTAACACCTAGACAATAAGTCCAGTGGGAAAGTAATGGCTATATTGTTTATTAGAGGATGTCAATTAATGTACACGGGGAGGAGGGTAGAAGGAGGTACCCATTTTTTTAAATTTCGTTAATAATTTGTTCGTAACATATTATATAAAAAAAAAATGTCAGTTACAAGTAAGTAACAAAGTTAAATTTATAGAGCACATGCTAAGAACTAATTGAATAACGAAAAAGGTTAAGATTTTGACCATGTCATCAACGCCCTATCTGTTAATTAAACAAGCAACCAACTAAAGTTATCGGGAGGTGGTAGGTTTGTAGAACAGCGAGGAAGGAACACAAGCTGACCATTAAAATTTGGTCAACGTTTCTGGGGTTAATTAGGCAACCGACCAACCAAGGGAGGTGGTAGAATCTTGTTGTATAGCAAGAAAGGAAACAAAAGTTGACCATAAGATCAACGTTTCTGAGGTTACTTAAGCAAGCAACCAACGAAGGTGGTAGGAGCTTGTTGTATAGCAAGAAAGGAACACAAGTTGACCATTAAAATTTGGTCAACCGTTTCTGGGGTTAATTTAGCAACCAACCGACCAAGTGAGGTGGTAGAAGGTGTATAGCAAGAAAGAAACACAAGTTGACCATATAATCAACGCTCCCAATGTAAACATCTGCAGGGTGAGATGGATGACGGAGGTGTCTGGAGACACAAGACACAATTCATTATGTGAACATACACATTAAGTAGGCTTTACCGTGATGATAAAATTAATGATGGCAGGAGGGACGGGGGCAGGGACGGAGTCAGGACCGGGGATCCCACCTTGGAATGGAATGTCAAGTGTCATCATTTCATACTAGGCAGGTGACCTCATTAAGGTAGACAATGAAATTCTGACGTAAAGATTTTATTATATCGGTACAAGTACTAGGGTTACATCCCTTTGTTGACATTACTTCCCTTTTTAATGCTAAAATTAATTAGCAGTAAAAGTGTAATTGAGATTCAGCGAAAATAAAATCGGTACAATATTTTAGAACATTTTTTTTAAATAAAAAAGTCGCTTTAAAATAAATTAACAAACGTTCTTTAAAAATGCAAATTCAAATTTTTTTCTATATTAGAATAATGAGATGCAATGCAAAATGTATTTATAGTAATAGTCCATTAGAAATCATGTCTTCAGATATTTTAATAGGAAAGGAGGGGAGAAGCATACTTATTATAATTGCAACCTAATCTCCATTTTGGAAATAAATTACACGATTACATTTTTAAAAATTAGATTAACAAATGAGATATCCCTGGTAATAAATTTTCAAACAGTAAATGAAAGAAATTAGTAGCGCACAAGGAAAGAAAGGATATAAACTTGTTAGAGTTAAAAGGGAGAACTAATGTCTAAACTTACCTTAATGTCCATTTTCTTGTTCTGTGAATCTTCATCATCCATTTCAAAGTAAAGTTCGTTTTTGGTAATGGACATGGTGCCATTGACAGCCACCCCTGGTGCTATCAGTTTACATGGAGTGGACAGTGCCACTGGACCTGGCAATAAAGTTTGATAGATTAGACCTGTATCAAAGACATAATGAATACCTTAAATCAAGCTAGATTTAGAGGTTTTAGAAGATACTTTAACAAATACGCTCCAGGAAATCTGTTTTACATTTGCAGTTGGTTTTGTAGCAAAAATTTCTTTAATAACCCTAAGAACATGAGCTTATATAAATAATGATCAAGAGCTGATGTAGTTCAGATCAGGTTTGTAATCACTACCTGAGACCTGACCCAGCACAGATCAGGTAATGGGACGGCATGGTTGGGCAGTAGAACACAGAACTGCTAATCCTGTCTCAAGTTTGGATCTGGACTCTACTGGGTAACGTAATTGCATCAAAGAAAGTAAAGTTGCTGTGCTCTGAACTGACCACACTTTCCATTTATATGCAGAGGACACAGAAACATATGCACTCTACTTCACCTGCACTATATTGATGAACTGTCAGGTCTGAAGGGCTATCTTTTACAGTTCAGGTTAAGAATGAACCCAGTACAGCTTTGGGTTAAGCATGAGTACCTGAGAACTCCTGGTCGACATCTTTCTCCTCCATTACCAGCTCCTCATCTGTGAAGTCTGTGGTCTCTCTCTGTGTCTTCTTCAGGGTAGCCAGGTGGGCATGGAAGGCGTCTCTGGCTGCATTGATGGCATCCTCTGCTGCACCTACACAAGATGGATAGCACATTTTACTCAGTAGGCTCAATGTTAACTTAGCATAGAATTTATTTCCAGAAGCTACACAAGATATTGTGCTTAAATTACAAAGCACATTTAATTAATGAGCTCATCATCTTAGTATAGAATTTATTTTCTGCACTTGTACAATATGCAGTGTATAACCACTTAGCATGTTATAATGAATGGGCTCCATGTCAACTTATCAAGAATGTATTATCAGCACTTGTACAAGAGGTAGAGCTGTATCACATTACACATTCCATTTAATGAATGGGCACACAGTGTCAACTTTGTTTTATGTTTTTAAAAAATGTGCTTAATAAGAGTTGTGCCCCTAAGCAGCTATGCTTAAAAAAAAAAATCTTGAGTAAGGACCAAGCAGTTTTTTTAACAGAAACTTTTTACCCTTCTGGTCTAATGATTTGAAACTGTTGCATAAGATCTGACCAACATCAATACATGACTCACCATGCTCAATGGCTGCCTTCAGGGTGGCCTCAGGGTGAGAGGAGCCCAGAGGATTTTTCACCATCCTCCTCCTCCTACGTGAGTCATCCTCCCAGATGTCCAGCTTCCAGAACTCTGAGTTCCTGGTTTTAAAAAAAAATGTCCTCAAGTTATATTACTACATTTATTTTTTATCTACTAAGATCTCAACTAAACTACACCATTTAAAACACACATCTTCATGAACAAATTTTAAACTACAAATTTGGTTAAATGTATAACTAATAATTTTTTCTATAGGGCTAGTTAACACAAAACTTTAAGACATAAAACATACTGCTGCAGTGCATCAACTCCCCAGGCACCATGCTTGTTCTGTAGAATGTTAAGGATCTTGTCCCGCTGTTTCAAGGCGATGGAATGGTCACGTCTTTTAGCAGATTTGATGAGATGATCACACAGCTTTTCTTCTTCTCTTCTCTCCATCATGGCTTGAGCACATGTGGACTGTTAGATTAGAGAAAAACAACAACATACAATCTTTAGAAACAATGTATTACCATTTGATGTTTTTTTTTTCAAGTTGTCAAATGATTTCAACATTCTAACCACAAAGAGAAATATTCAAAATAAATACTGTAAGCTAACTCAAGATTTGTGTGGCTATTTTGGTAAAGTTGTCAATCTCCACATTAATTTACTCAATTTTTAAATGAGCTAATAGGAAAAGACATGAGGCAAACCAAACATGAATACATTTAAATAAACTATGCTTTGTTGAGTAAAATGCATTTGTATAGAATGCAAAAAAAAAGGTTTTTAGTTTCAAATACTGTTAAAGTTAAGTTTTTACCCCACACGAACAACTGGGTATAGGACATTACCGAAAGTCAATACCCCCCCCCCCATCTCTGCTATTACTCAGCATAAAATTAATGCCTAAACAATAACCCTACCCCTAGCATTAACCATAATCCTAAACCTAGCCCTCTGCTAGCTCTAGTACAAGCCCTATAGCCTTGAATGTTGTATAAAAAAGCCATTTAGGCTGACACAAGCTAATATGGCATTAGTTAAAAGCCATTATTAGGAGCATTCCACTGTTGTTTGTAGGCAGACATTTTTCCCTACACAAGATTTATTTTCTTATTCATGCTATGTGCTGTGTTTTATATGTTATACCTTAACTACAATAATAAAAGGGTTTTAAAAGGTGACAAGGAATTAGCTCAAATTATCTTTAAATTAAATGGAAAACTATTTCTTACACAATTTTAACTCATCAAGATGTAGTCACGCATGAAATGAATAATAAATGGGTATTGTCCTAATAAGCATTCAGGTAATGAATTTTCAAATGCAAATGTATGCAAATGAAGACAGATACATGGATATTACATTTAAAAAAACATTATTTTTCTTGTTTTTTTTGTGTACAAAAATGTTTTACAATATTTATAAATGATACATGAGGAACACATACTTGACACATGACAAACATGTACCTGAAACATGACAAACACATACTTGATACATGACAAACATGTACCTGAAACATGACAAACACATACTTGATACATGACAAACATGTACCTGAAACATGACAAACACATACTTGATACATGACAAACATGTACCTGAAACATGACAAACACATACTTGATACATGACAAACATGTACCTGAAACATGACAAACACATACTTGATACATGACAAACATGTACCTGAAACATGACAAACACATACTTGATACATGACAAACATGTACCTGAAACACATACTTGATACATGACAAACACATACTTGATACATAACAAACACATACTTGATACATAACAAACACATACTTGATACATAACAAACACATACTTGATACATAACAAACACATACTTGATACATGACAAACACATATATTTAATGAAAAACATGTAATTGATACATGACGAATTACATACTTGATACATGACAAATACATACTTGATACATGACAAATTACATACTTGATACATGACAAATACAAACTTGATACATGACAAATACATACTTGATACATGACAAACATACTTGATACATGACAACATTTACTTGATACATGACAAATAACATAACTGATACATGACAAACACATACCTGACAAAACACATGACACATGACAAACACATACTTAATTATAACACATATTTGCTACATGAGGAACACATCTGATACATGGTAAATCCTGTATACAGTAGGACAATATACCTCAAAGTCAGCATGTTTCTGTACATCTTCAGCTCTCATCCTGTTAAGAATAAATTCTGCCTCGTTGGCCACACGCACAATGTGATCTCTTGTTGCATGAGCCAGAAGCCTGGGAGATAAATAAATGTAAAAACTTGATCAACATTTAGATATTGTTTTTTTTTCACCTAATATTTCACTGTGGTATTAAGATTTTCCAGCAATCATGAGTTTCCCATACTATATCCATTCAGATTTAAATAATGTCTAAACTAACACAGTGGATGGATCACTTTCTCCATAACTATCTCTGCCTTGAAGCCATTTTTTACTAGAAAGTATTATTCTATATAACCCTACTAAATATTTTATTAAAAGAAACAGCTTTGATTACTGATCCTAGAATATTACCACCACTATAGTTTAACTACTAGTAAACAGTAAACTCACTAAACTAAGAATAAATATTTAGCAGTGTATCTCATATATTTTTTTACTTTATACTTCAGCTATTTTTGTTTATAAGTATCTCATATAACGGCAGTATCCTACTTTTTAAAAGTAAAAAAACATATATATTCTGTTTTGTAAATGAAATTGGAAACTAAACAACAATTTAAATTTATATTCAGAAATGGCAACTTATTCAAACTAATGAATACCAAACATAGTCACGGAACTTCAGGTCGCAGCAGGTTGATGTGGGTGTACTAGAGAAAAACATCTCCCATAAATCAAAGAGAAAACACATGCCCTTACCTTCCTTCATTCACCAACTCAATAAAAGCCAGTCCTGCATGTTTCTGTAGGGAGTTCTGCCACTCCTGGGAACACAGCAACATGACCAGCTCCACCACTGAGGTGCTCTGTTTCAGTGTCACCAGCCCTACAACACAATTCATGCTCAGATAATCTAACCCATTGTTTGTCTCATCAAATCAGAAACACTATTTAGTAAACTAATTCTATTTAGAACAACATTTAATGCTACACAATCAAATCTTTTTTTTGTCTGATTAACTAAAGGCTAAAATTATATAATTTTATCAGCACAGTAAAGTGTTACTTAAAGTAATGACAACATCAAAATGTTTTAAAATGCATGATAAAAAATATATTTAACAAACCAAAATACCAGGAAAGAAAATTTTGAAAAACAATCCAGGATTCTAAACAGTGCTATAACCAACCAACTACTGCATTTTAGTTCATGCTGATAAAGAACAAGATGGCATGGCCTAATGGTAGAGCACTAGACTGTTAACCAGAAAGTCTCAAGTTTGAATCCAAGTTCGTCAGTAGAACATCCCTGAGTCCACCCAGCTCTGATGGGTCACTAACTATCAATAGGGAAAGTAAAGGCGGCTAGGCATAGTGCTGACCACATTATCTATGCCAAGGTCACAGATCAGGTGAACTACTTCCCTTGCCCCATAGACCGTTTAGGTTCAAAAAGGAAACTTTACTTTTATGAAGAAAAAATATACAAATATTCATCAATGTGTTGTAAATGAAGTAATCTATAGGCCCTAACAATTAAGTGTTAAGGTTAAAGTGAAACAACAAGAGAAATAAGCTGGGAATAAAGGTAACACAAGTTTCTACATAAGCAACAAAAAGCTAATTCACACAAACACAATGGTTGATAAACTGTGTTATATGATTGCTGAACTGTCATGTGATTTTTGCTTACACTATACAGGGCATATTTCAAGGAATATCCCAGCTAATTTATTTTTTATTTTCTTCGTCATAATCTAGCCATGAAAATAAAATAAAATATTTAGCTTTAATATAGTCCAGATATCATCTAAATGTTGACATTTATGTGATACATGTGTTTGTTAAGGTAAACTTAAAAACTAAGAGTTTTCAGTTACTAGCAATAATGAGCATTTTTTTTCCACCAATTTAGAAAAAAAGAAAGCAGTGTTCACCATATTTATTTGTAATAGTGTGAACTATCCTACTGTTATTTTTATCTAAGATATACAGCAAAGAAAATTCTACAATCATGCATAAGAGAAAAGAAACAAAAAAGGACATGCATTACCCCCACCTCCAATCAGGAGCTCCTGTCCATGTGAACCTATCAGGGTCTTGGACAAGAAGGGGGCAAAATCTACAAACACCTCCCTCAACAGGGGAGCCACAGAGCCCAGGGCCCTCTCTAGTCTCTCAGTCAGGGTGCCAGTGTCCATCTGGTAGCTCAGGAGGTTGTGGATTGGTGGGTTGATGTTTAACTCAAGTGCGCTTGGCTTTTGGCCTCCATTGGCACCATCTTGATCTGGCAATAAATTGAAAAATACTTAAGTCACCAGTAGCCTGAGTTTTTTATTTTTTTTATTTAAAACATAAATCTACAATTAGTTATCATGGCTTTTTAAAAATTATAAATAAAGTTGACCAGTCTAATCCCCACTGTATATCAAATGAAACATTTTGTCGAATTTATTGTGAAAAGAATATACATACATTGAATAGCATTAAAGAACTTACCTGATGTTTTATGTGCTAAGGAGATGGAAGAAATAGGTTTGTTTTCTCTTGGTTCTTCCCCTTCAGCCTGGTGAGGTCAGACATTTAAGAAATGAGTCCAACCATTTTATTAGGAAAGATCATCCTACCGATATTCTAAAATAGTTTATTCAATTAATTCTTTAAGTAATCTGTACTCATTGTGTTTTGAAAGATGCAAAAGATCTGACATCAATTTGACTACTGCACTGACTTAGGATTGTGAAAATCACCCTTAGTACTAAGAGAAAGCACAATCTTTTAGCACGTGCTGTAAAGTTTAAGGATTTATCCTGGTTTGTCTCCCTCATTGAACCCAACAAACATTATTAAAAGCATTACTTTATAAAAAAATATAATTTATAAGCTGAATCCACTAATTAGTAAAATTATCTGATAACATTAACTAGACTCACTCTCTCTGGCCTTTGTTCTCCTCTAGCTCCTTTTGAAGTTTCTAAAAATAGACATACAATTTAAGCTTATTTTTAACTTCATAAAAATAATAGGATATTTCCCATAATAAATTTTCTCTTTAAAAAGAATTTCACACCGAGATATACATAACCAGAAGTTATGGCCTGAGTCAAACCAGTGGTGCTATCACCCACCTGAGTCTTCCTTTAAGTCCACATCCTCCATCTTAGTCTCATCTACAACAGGCAGTTTGTGGTCATCCACCTCATCCCCTGCAGCACCTTCAGCCTCCTCCTCTTTTTTCTCTGTTTCTGCTTCCTTCTCTATGTTTTTAGCCTCTGCATCTTCCTCTTTGGCTTCTTCCTTTTCTTCAGTTTCCTCTTTACTTGTTGTGGCCTACAGACAAAAATCACAAAAGACTAATATCAGACCATATCGTTAAATTTTATAATCAGGCTCTTTAAATCATTTTCCCCACATTTTCGAAAAAATTTAAAGACTTTAGAGATATATATCATCTGAGGACTAAATTTTTAATATCAGTTTTGCCCGAAGTTTTAAAACATTTAATCTTATAATAGATTTGGGTTTAGTTAACCATGCAGCACACTGGAGATATTCTATGAAAACAAATAATGAAAGTGTTTAAAGAAGTCAATAAAGAATGTGATAGACAAGTTAAGTACAATAACAATATTTTAATTAAATTAACCTTTGTTGCTAAATGAAATGTGATGGAACAGGGCAATAAACAATTGTTTATATTTATCATTCAATGTGTCAACCAACATGCATCTGTGGTCTTGAATTTTTTAATCCCATATTTAAATTACTTCTTCACAAGCTATTGAAAACATTATTTTACAATGGTATATTAAAAAAGTATATCTCTCCTGGCTGTTGATTGAAATCTATCAGGACTTATTTTTTTCTATAATTAAATAACAACAAAATGGTTTTCTACTACCTGGGTCTCCACCTCCTGAGCCTGCTGTGCTTCTTGCGCAGGCTGTTCAACTGCCTGTTCCTGCTGCTGTTCAGCTTCTGCGGGCTGTTCTACCTTTGGTTGCTGTTCAGCTTCGGCTGGTTGTTCTACCTTTGGTTGCTGTTCAGCTTCGGCTGGTTGTTCTACCTTTGGTTGCTGTTCATCCACCTCCAGCTGTACTTGCTGCGGTGACAGCTCGCCTTCGTCAGGCTGTTGCTGCTGTTGTGATGAGGTATCGGAATCCTCAGTACCTCTTTCCAATCCACCTTTGTCACTCTCTGTTTGACACAACAATATAAAAACATATAATGCAACATTTCTAACAAGGTATTAACTATGAAAAAAATGCATATATCACATTAAATGTATTAATTCTTAACAAAAACAAAATAATTATAAATTTAAAAGTGAGACGTATCTATATAAGAAAATACCTTTTTCTAATAACTCAAGAGAATTGTTGGATAAACAAGTGTATGACTGCAACTCAAATGGGACAGCGTGGCATAGCGGTGAAGCGCTAGACTGCTAACCCAATAGTTTCGAGTTCAAATCTGGGTTCAAGTTAGTGGAACGTCCCTGAGTCCACCCAACTCAGATGAGTACTTAACTTGCGTTAGGGCAAGAAAAGGCAGCAGGGCATAGTGCTGACCACACTATCTCTTCATATGCCGAGGTCAAAGAAGCAATTCACTTGCCCTACAGACCGTCAGGTTTGAAAGGGAACTTTACTTTTACTTTTATGGTACTTCTCAATATGACTGCAACTCAAGCCCTAAGAAAATTACCATTATTCTTGTCATAGTCTCTAAATGATCCCAGCAGAAAATAAAAAAACCCAACAAACAACTAACCAGCATCATCATCCTCTTCCTCCTCCTCTTCCTCCCCTTCTCCTGCCTGTCTCTCAGCCATGTCCTCACTGGAGCCATCTTCATCATCCAGCTTGTTAAAGCGAGTTGAGTCTGTATCTAATACAAACAAATGTTTACCTTTATTATTACATGCTTCAGACAAATTGCAGTGAAAAAAAATATTCAACATATACAGTTAACATTCAAGGCAACAATTTAAATCCAATTCATTCAACGAAGAAAAGCAAACTTTTTTTACACAATCATGAAAAATATAAAACATTGCCATATATCTCCATCTTCTAAAACAAAAGATTACAAGATTACTTTTAAGAATGAAAAACTTTAACCTAAATGATCTGAAAAACTGACATTCTGGCCTCTCTTTGACTCACACAGAAAGCATTAACAAAAAATTTGTAACTATAATTTTTATCAAATGTGTAATATAACCACATTGCTAACAAGTAATAGAAATGTTATTGAAGGAATGTTTTATTACTGAACAACCAGAAAAAGTTTGGTCTGCGATATGAATTTTTCTCTTATTTTAGGAGAATCTAAACATAAACCACATTAAGCTAAGAAAGATATGTATTTTAATTTAAAACATTATTTGAAAAAACAATTTCTTTTTAAATGGCGTTGTTATTTTTTATTAAAAAATCACTAAAATTAAGTTTAATATGCACACTATTAATTTTTAAATACATCTATCTAGGCACATCACAAATACACACAGCAATATATTTAGTAATGTTTATTATGTTTAGAAATTTCTAAGAGCCTTTTATATTTTTAGCTCACATTCAAAGACATTGGTGTCAAGTTACATGCACACTTTTCTATGATCCCCTATTTTGGGTCAGTGTATTATTGCGTACAAATGTCTAAATTTTACTGAGTAATAATTTCAAAAAATGCCAAAATCTACACAAAAATATTTTAAGTAAGGGTGACAGAGGGAGGATAGGTTTATTTCAGTGACTATGGGGTAAAATACTAGAAATGTGGTTACAGCCAGTTCTGGTTAAGCCAGTTTGAAGAAAATTAATTTTACTTATTAACCTTTTTTTTTTTAAATGGAATACTCAATAATGTATGAACATAATCTTAAAAGCCCACAACTAACCTAAGTGTCTAATTATAACTTTTACGAACACAAAATTTGTATTTCATCAAGCAACAGAAGAATTACTTCCCTGGAAAGTGAAATTTTAAAAGGACAACACCAATAAGGAGAAGAGCAATATGAAAGATGTTTGATACACAAAACACACTCCATTTTTCAGTTCAATTTTTTAGCTTTATAAAAAAAAATTAAAAGCAAGCAAAGCTGACACATCAAATTCTTGGCATTCCAATAGAGAACCAGCAGGTGGTGATAATGAAGGTTGAGGTGGTTGGTAAGGATGGGATAGTGGGGCATTTACTCCAATATACATTTTGGTATTATAAGCTTTTGGAATTCTTTACTCTTTGTTTAAATAGTAGAGGAACATTTTAGACAAACACTACTAAAGAATTACTTGTTTATTCTGGGAGGGGGGTACAAATTAAAACCATGATCATAGTCAATTATGAGAACAACTTTTAAAAATTATCTTTAATGTTTCAACTAAGGTCATCCATTTGTGCTTGGTATAAAAATTTTAAAACCATATTGTTAGCAATTTATTTTCTAGTGAGCTTCAAAGTGAAGTATTAAAATGTATTAAAATTGAATGAGGGATGAATAAGAAAAGCTGGGTCTACACAGTAAGCTGATGGTGAATACAACATCCAAGCTCCAAGGACTACCTTCAGCAATTTGCTCCAATGCCTCACTTGTGTTTGAAGGAGCTTCAGCAGCCTCTGAAGCTTCTTTTCCTAGAACTTCCTCCACTGGTTCCACAGGTTTCTCTATATCATCATTATTTTCTTCTTTTTCAACATCATTTTCTTTTTTCTCACCATCATTTTCTTCTTTAGTAACAGTACTTTCTTCTTTCTCACCAGTATTCTCTTCTTTATCGTTTTCTTTCTTTTCATCTTCTTTTGCCACTTCATCTTTTTTATCCTCATCTTGGGAATCCTTTCCTGTCTCTGGTGAGCTATTTTCCTTTTCGGAAACATCATTGTTCTTTTCTTCAACATTCTCATTGATGTCATCACTATTTGTGTTAGACTTCTCACTTTCAGTTGTGCCTGTCTCTTCTTTAGCCAACACATTGACCTCTGCTTCCACAACTATTTTGCTCTCATCTTCAACCTTTGGTGTTTCTTTGGCTGTTTCCTTTGTCTGGTCCTCAGTTTTGGTCTCTTCACCAGCTACATTTCCCTCTCCTACTGTGGTTATCTTTCCTGTTTCAGACTTCACCTGTTTGTCACCCACTGAACCTTCTGTTTTCACATTCCCCTGGGTAACAGGTACTGGAGATGCATCTTTATTATTAATTACAGCAGGAGTCGTCTCTTGCTTTTTAAGAGTTGTCTCTTCTTTTTTAACAGTCCCGCCATCTAATTTATTAACGGAGGTGTCAGGCTTGACCTCCCCTTGTGAGGACTCCTCGCTAGATTTGATGGAGAAGGAAGCGATGGATGAGGTGGAGCTGCCACTCTCTGGCAGAAGTGGCATGGCAGAGGATGTGATCTTCTGCCAAGAGAGACCGCCTAGTGAGAAGTTGTATCAAAACCATTAGTAGAAGACAATGCAGCAGTTTGCAAAAAAACCCAAGATTTTAAAAAAATAACGACACTCAGTCTGGTTATATGTTTTTGGTAAAACCAAAGTAATCACCATTTAAAATATTCACTGTAGGCAAATAATTAGGCTTTCAATATCTGTACTTTGAAAAACATTTTCATTACAGATTATAGATTTAAAATCTTCTTGCGGAACTTTTTAAACATTTAATAACTGTAAAATGTATTCTTTTAATTTTTATTTTTAATAAACCACAGATTAACTTTTATCAGAAAAAAACAAAAGATTTCATTATTTCTTATCTAAAATTATTTAATTTTTGTTTTGCTAAAATTAACCAAAATAAATACTTTAAACAACTAACTTCTAAAAGCAGCCATTTGATCTCAAAAGCCCACTGTAATAACACCAACTTTATACCAATATTATTACAGAGATTATATTTTGATAGTTGAAAAGATTGAACACAGAGCAATTACTAGAAGACAAAAAAAAGTTAAAAACATGAGCTGTGGATTTGTCTACAGCTGTTACATTATAAGCCGCCACCACCAGCGTCTTGTTAGTTAAGTAAAAAAACTCACCTGATCCCTCCCTGCTACCTGGTGCTGCGGCAGCTGTGGGCGTGGCAGCAGGTGAGGGTGGCTCAAGGATGTCCCTGTATTTGGACACCATAAGCACCGAGCAGAAGTAAACAATAGCCAATGCAAGAAACTGTGCTTGTTTCGTTTCTTCCTGTAAGCAAAAGTTGTATTGGTTTATAAGAGACTTATCAAAAGAATGACAGTAGCTTGTTATTGCATGGTACAGTAGTGACTACAACCAAGATATTGGAAAATATGTAATTTTGTAATAGCTGCCCAGTCTTTCTTCCTGACATTTTAAGTACATCATTTTTTTAAGGATAAATGTATCAATTACATACTTCATAAAACATTTTAATGTGGTTGTTTCTTCTTATTCTATGTAACCTGAATTCAGAATGGTTTTTACCTACACTTCGGCCTCTAAATAAACAGTGGTTTCATTATTTGAAGAATGAATTATACTCAGGATTCATACATATGAATGTCAAATCCACCCACATTTTAACTATGTACCAAAACATTAATTTAAATGAATTTTAATGGGAAAAGGAAATAGTTGGATCTTAATAGTTGATTTGCATTAGTCTGAATCCAATAAATGGTCACAATAGTTGATTTGCATTAGTCTGAATTAAAAATAAACATGTTCCCACTGTAACAAAGCAACTCACCACGTCTCTGTATACCACTGCTCTTAACCTATTGATGTCCATGTCTTGGAGAAGCCTTTCAGGGTCCTTGATGGGGGTAGTTTGGCCAGCTAGATTTTCTACAATGTTCTAGAGATTATACAAAAAATACTGAAATTAAAATCTAGACTAAGATATTCAAAAAGCATTACAAGATGAATGATTGAAAGTGTGTGACAATCCTTTTGGCTTAAAAAGTGCAGGTTTTCTTTTTATTATTTGCTGAAACACTAATTTATAAAAAATATTTAACATGGCTATACAATCCATTCATAGACTGTGGCTATCTATCTGCCAGACCAATGAATGAGTGTTTTAAAAAGGTGACTTTTGCTACACAATGTTTTTACAAAGCAAATGAGCAATTAAAATGTTTAAATATACAGGTATATCCCACCATGGGCCAGCTGAGATGAAGTCACTGTATAATGAACACAACAATGTTTAACTCAAAGGGTTATGAACATAAGCTTTGAAGAGAAATGTAAAACTGAAGAAAATTATTATTTGTCTTAATCTCATCAACTATAACAGCTACTCTACCAGCTCATGATTTTATAATCAATATAAATTTATACCTGGATCTATACCTTTGTGTTTATAAAAAAAACTGTTAGAGTAATACCTTGGCAGAGGGGTGTGATCCGCCTATAAGGCTGTGTATGGGATCAACCCCATTGATTGGCTTGTTGGTAGCAGGAGATGGTGGCTCAGAGCCTCCATGGCCTTGGTAACGATGGCGACACTCTAGACAATTTCTTACAGCTGAGGTACACACTGAGGGATGGACAAAAGTAATGGAATTTATAAAGGGATTGACAAACAGCAACAGTAGACTGACTATGGGATAGAAGAGTGATAACAAGACTAAACAAGGGTGATTGATATGTGATAGATAACATAAGAAATACCAATAGGGATTGACATGTGATTACATAAGACTGACCAATAGAGATTGACTTGTGATAACAAAATGATTGAAAAAAGATAACAGACTGACCAAAGAGGTGGTGGGTGCTAAAATTAGACTGACCAACTTGTGAGCAATAGTTGCATATATTTTAAAAAGAATAAAGATAATAGACATAAGAACTGACCCAGCCTGAGGCACTGTCTCAAGATGCCCCCAGAAGGCATGTTCTTCTCATTCTCCAGCTCTGAGAAGTTGGTGGAGCTGGCAAAGACAAGAATGTCAGTCATGTACATGATCCTCTGCAGGATCATCACAGCCTGTTCAATGCTCAGTCCCTGGTTTGGTTCCAGAATCTCTATCTCCCCCTGCAACATGCAAGTCAATAATAAGTGATATCATCAACAAACTAAATTGTTCCAAACCAAAAATGACTAAAACATGACTTATTTATTTATTTATAGCTACATACTTTTCCTTAATTTTAACTCAAATCAACATTTGAAAAAAAATCATATTCTAGGCAAGCAGGTGTATAACTATATATAATCAATTTAAATATTTACAGCTCTAGTTGTTCACGTGATTGCATTGAGCAGACTACATGGCAAAGTGCTAAATTCTAAGCTTAAAGCTATGAATTACTTTAAAAATTTAAACATTCTTCTACAATTTTTACTTACTCTTTCAAACAAAGCAATAGTGATTTCAGTATTTTGTCTAAAATATTCTTTGTAAAATAAAGACCTCTAAACATTTCTTTATTAAGTTTTTGAAATTCTGTCATTCAGCTTTTACTAATAATTTGTTTCAGAATTTGAGTAATATGGTATAAACATCATCTAAAATACTAAACTGCTTGAAACCATTTTAACAGCTGAATTTTAAAATAAATATTTTTTTAAGATCAGAAATTTTTTTGAAGTTGTTCTTTTTAAAATTCATGGGTAAAAAAAAAAAACTTACATTCTGTGAGGTGGCTGCAGCAAGTAGAGGCAAGAGACCACCACAGGATGTGATGAGGTTGTCTGCCAGCTGGGAGATCATGTGAGTCACATTGACAACATAGATATGGTTCTCATTGGCATTCACAAAATCTATGACGTTCTTGGTGCTGTGGCTGGACAAAACACAAACACATTACAATGGCTCACTTTATTCAGGGGAAATAATTCTATTAATTCTAGTTGAATATCTGAACCCTTTCTATGCTTGTAAAGAATATATATAATAATAATAAAAAATTTACACTTCTGCCTATTGTTTACATGAATCTTTATAATGAGTTAATTTTAAATTTATTTTTAAGAAAACAAAATATAAATAAGGTTACAGAGTAATTAATTGAAACTTTGCTTTTATATATTGTCGAGCATGATAAAATTAATGATGGAGACGTTTATTGAAGATATTTCTAAATGCATAAAACAAAGTCAATTGATCTTTGAGAGTATTCTCTGTATTAAATTAAGTTTAGATACTAAAAACATAAAACATTTTTAAAATGCTAGAATTACAGCTACATAACAAACCTCTTCCAGACTTGAATGTCAGTCTCCACTGCAAACAGTAAATCTGACAACAGTTTCTGGTGTAGGAAAGACCAACGGAATTCTGGTATACGGAAAGCTGGGGCACGAGGACCAGGGCTGAATATGTGTCCACCACCTCGGCTGGCGTTTGAAGGGTTGCGCTGGAGAGTTGGAACCCCAGGACCATTCTGTGCAGATTCCTGGCTGGTCTTAGCGCTGTTTCCTTTATCAGCTGACTTAAACAGACTGTGCTCCTCATATCTGTAATCATAATAGCATCATATTTTATAACTTGTGTTAAAACTAACAATTACAATAATTATTTAATTAGAATAAATAATCCTTCTACTTTGATATCACAGCTATGAGTGTATATTGTCCTATTTATGTATAGTTATTACAGTTACTTCTTTATTCATTTATAAAATATCTTCAGGATGATTTTAAATTTTAAAAAAATGAAAACAAAAAGAGCTTGCCCTTAAAACAAAAACTGTAATTACCCATTAGATTCTGCCTCTCCACCAGCTGCCGAATCTAGTTTTGATTCCTCTGAGTTTGATTCTTTCCCCTGTCCATTTACCTCCCCTTGAGGCTTATCTGTTGTGTCTTCTTTCTTCTTGTTCTCTGCGCTTGTATCCCCCTGTCCCTCAGCTGCTGTCTCCACTTCACTGACCGGCTTCTCCTTCGCCTCTTGGCTTTTCTTCTCTGATTTATCTCCACTGTGTTTCTCCTTCTCATCACTATTCCCGTTGGTGATGGCCTCGGCTTCAGCATCAGACACCTCTGAAATTTTGACGGAGGATTTGTGAGCAGGCCGGCTGCTCTGGTCATCAGAAAGGCCAGAGATGGTACTAATAGGCCTCTGCTGCAGCTCAGATGGGTCGGATATGTTGTCTGTTCTATGTTGTTCAAACTGCTGGTACATCTTGGACATGTGGATTTTAAAGTCCTCATAAGCTACCTGAGAACAGTAGTTAGGTTTTTGTTATACATGTAACAATCTAACACAAAATCTACACACAATAGTTAACAAAATAAGGTTTTAGAAAATTAACAACTTCAACCATCAGGCCATTTATAAAAAGACATTTTATGTAATAAAGTTTAACAAATTGTATTTTATAGTAATGATTTCAAGAGGAAAAACGAGTTAAATTTTTAAAAAATATATTTTAAAATTTCTGTTTGAACATTAAATCAATATATTATAACTACATTATTCAAAAGACATAACATTATTTAAAATTATGTTAAAGTGTATGTTTGTAGGGTTGTTAACTGTTTTTAGCAGCTATACCTATACATTTTGAAGGTATAAATATCTGTAAAAAGCAGTGTGAACATGTACTCTTTAACTAATTTGTGATATTAACACCTTTTAATTTATTAAAAGTATGAACCTTTTAATTTATAAGCAGTTTGAATATTGGTCAATTATTTAGAAGTAGTCTGAATATCTGTTCATTTATAAGCAATAGTTTAAACATCTGTTAATGTATTTAGTTAGAATATCTCTTAATGCATTAGCAGTATAACATATGTATGAACATGAATAATCTGAAAGTCTGTGTCAACCAGGCCATGCCCACCTTGGAATGTAGAATAGCCAGTGTGTCTATCCAGACTCTCCAGCCACCAAACTCAAACTTGATGGCGTGGTGCAGCAACATCTTGAAGAGGGCCATCACCATGTCAGTGATGCGCTGCTGCTCAGAGTTGCGGGGGTAAATGTAGGCCAGGGAGAAGAGCCAGTCCTGCCAGACAGACATCTGCAGCACAGTGCTGAGGGAGACCAAAACACTTTCAATCACGTTACATTAATCACAGGCACACAGTTTGACCAGTGGTTCTTTACCTTTTTGGAGGTACCAAACCCCACAAGCTTCATATACGCATTCATCAAACTCTTCTTGATAGTTCTATCATCCCTACCGAACTCTTCTTAATAGTTCTATCGTCCCCATCGAACTCTTCTTAATAGTTCTATTGTCCCCATCAAACTCTTCTTAATACTTCTATTGTCCCCATCGCTCTTCTTAATGGTTCTATCGTTCCCATCAAATTCTTCTTAATAGTTCTATCATCCCCATCAAACCCTTCTTAATAGTTCTATCGTCCCCATCAAATTCTTCTTAATAGTTCTATCGTCCCCATTGAACTCATCTTAATAGTTCTATCATCCCCATCGAACTCTTCTTAATAGTTCTATCGTCCCCATCAAACTCTTCTTAATAGTTCTATCATCTGTAGTCACAAAATCCGATCATGATTCATATGAGTCGGAGTATATTTGACCTCTACCCAAACCCTGAGACTGACTTAAATAACCTCTGGGATTCAATAGAACCAAGGATAAGAACCACTGAGTTAGAACATCCACAAAAAAACAAGATACTTCACATAAATTAATCAAACATAAATTAACATGGACTAAAATCAGTTTCACATAAAACTTTTAGATAGGATGTGTCAGCATAATGGTACAAAAAAAAACAAATGAAAATAGATAACAGACTAATCCTTGAGATAATCTCACCGTCTGTTGTCCTTGTTGTTGTTGCAGAGAATGGTCAGGTCAGACAGGAATGTTTTCTTCACCTCTAGAACCTCTGGGGTGGGCTTGGACTGACGGATCATGGTGGCCACCACTTTAAGGATGGCTGCGATTGAAAGTTATTTCTTTATAATATTCTGTATAAGAATGTCTTTAAGTCATAGAATAAATATTTTTAAAAAAATAGCTGCTCATTAAACCTTCTTAGTTCCAAATATTTATTCTTAAATTTTCACACAAATTCAACCCCACTGGAGCCTTCATCTTAACATTTTTTTTGGGTTTTTTTTTTAATTATTTAACAGTAATATATTTAATTTTAAAAACAACTATTCAATAAATTTAATGACCTGAGTTTTCAATACGGAATGTAGAGTCTGGCTCTTCCTGGCGTACTTTGATGTTTTCTTTGTTCATTCTTTCCGTCAAAATCTGTGTAGCATAATATTCAAATTGATTTTATATTATATTTGTGTTAAATCTATCTTTTTGTAAGTTTCTATGGCTTGAGAATGATATAAACACTGCCCAAAAAAAACATTACTTTGTAACCCAGAACCCCTATGTGTAGTGAAAAGTTTTTGATTATCTCAAATTTCTTTTCCACATCTCTCTGAAAGAGGGAAAATTTTGGAATTTTTGCACATCAAACTTTTCTCTTACTATCATTAGGTAGGTCCTCATACAAAAGCACCAAAACACTCACTCTGTCAACTGAAGTATAGAGAATATAAGAAATGGAACAAAAATTGTTTAGGCAATTACCTCAAAGAGCACATTGTAAGTGGACATGGAAATGTTTGGTGTGTGGAGCATCAGTCTCTCAGCCAGCAAGCTGAACAAGTTGTGTGGTGACATTGCATCTTGTTTCCTCCTACAATGGCAGAGGTGGTATTACAGTTACAGTCTTTACATATTGGATCATTCTCTATGCCTTTAATATTTATTTTTTTGTAGTTTTTTTTTTTTTACATTAATATTTTTTTAATATTCTGGTTCAAACTGTTATTAGAAATTAACTAGAAGATATTAACAGTTTACCTGTATGTACTTCTCATTAAGAAAAGTCCCAGCAGGCGAAGAGAAAATAACCTGATATCTTCATTTTGTGAGGCCAAGAGTTTAAATATTGTTCTGAAATAAATTTCAGGTTTTTAATTGGCGTTTAATGCATTTCACACTTAATATATGATGTAATACTATTTTTTAATTTATATTTAAATTACTAGACAAGATACCTATTCAAATTCAAGACTCTATAGTCTTTTTCTAGACAATACTTTGAACTTAATTACTACCTTACCTAACACCATTCTTTTGATCAAATGCTGGCACCATTGATGCTGGGTGCTCAGACATTAGCTGGACTAACAACTCTAGGACATCTATCAAGTTGTCATCCTGGGAAATAAAGTAATGAAGGATGTGCTTAACATGTAAACACAGAAGCCAAAGTTCCCACCCAACTATTGATTCAAAGTTTGTACCTAATTGATCTGGCAAACTAAACAGCTTGTAAAATAAATGGCATGATCTACTAAATAATTCTTTTATAGTGAAACAAAATGGCACAATGTACAAGAGGTTGTCAATAATGTATGTGTAAAAATTCCAAAGGAAGATGAATTTATTTATAGGTTAAAGTAAAGAATACCTCATGTAGTGTTGTGAGGTAGTTCAGCATTGACTGTAGCTCGTCCTCTAGAATCCCATGACCTTTGATGATCAGTTCTTTCACATACATCAACATGAAGGACCTGAGTTTGATTATCTCATCTCTGGTAGGTCTGGGGCCATCTATACATTTTAAAATAGAATAAGACAATTAGTCAAAATTTGTGAGGACATGCTTTCTTAGGTCTCTAGATCAAATCCAATGCAAAACAATGTTCCTGAATATAACCAATTCTTCAAGAAAATTTCCTTTAAATATTAGATCAGAAAAAAAGTTTTAACTGTATAGTACAAGATGAAATCAGTGAAAAAAGTTAAAGTAAGATAACCTTGGTGCATTATGACTGGAATTAGTTAGAAGAATACCAATAAAAAGAGAAAACGTACCCAAAGCTTTAGGCTGGACACCACTGCGGTCAAGTGGGTTGACCACCCAGTAGTAGTATTTCAGAGAGTGCATGGTCTGCAGGACAGCGCTGACCCGCCTGATGTTGTTGTAGATTTGTGCATTGCTGATAAACTCAGTGGCCAGATAACAGTAGAGTTTTGTTTGAACCTGAAAAATAAAACATCCAAGTTATTTATCAAACGAGAACAAGGAAATAGAACTCCCTAGAACATAGCTGGACAGTAGGATTGGTCTCACTGAATTTATTTTTCTCTACCATACCCACTAAGTCCAGCATTTAATATTTTACATCACTCATCAACTCTTTAATTGATCTTTTCAACATTTCATCATTACTGTTTCTCTCATCACATCAGGAAACTCCAGCAATAGTCTCACCATCATACAATACTCTTAGCATATATCTCTCCCCCACCCCCACCTCTAAAATTATTTCCCCCATATCACAGCAAGCATCCTAGCATAAATCTCTCCTCATTATAGACAGCACCTCTAGCATTATTTACCCCAGTCACCACCCCTTGCATTTATCACCACCTCCATAAACCACCTCTAGCATTATCCAGACCAACCACCCCACCCACCACCCCCTCTCTCACCACATCCAGCACCCACCTCCACTGATGTGTGGACCCACAGCTGGGGGTTGAAGAGAATGTAATCAAACAGATATTTGAGCAGGATTCCTCCAGTGGGCAGCTCCACCAAAAACTCTGTCAACTTGAGGAAAGCTTCCAGTACAGCAGGAGTTATGTGGTCTCTGGATGACTGAAAAGTTTCACAATTTGAAGTCATTAACAACAAAGTTAGTATACCAATACACAAATCAAAATAATTATGTTGATGCATTATTTATATCCTGTTAAACCTTAGAACTTCAATCTAAGCAAATAACTCCATCGCTGGGTGTTTTTTTTAGGATAAATAATTTTAATTTTGTGCCAATTTGTGAGATTTTAGCAGAGAGAAGGTAAAATATATCTTTTAAATTTATTGAATAGTCTTTCTTTGTGAAAATTAGCCTTTTACGGACAATCAAAATGAAATTAACAAGATTATACTTTTTGAAGGATATTCAGCCTTAAAATGTACATAAAACATACTGTATGGTTTCCTGCATGTTAAAGGGAACTCAAGGGGAAGCAACTTCTCAATACTAGAGGTACAACTGCATTACAATTCAACTGACAAAGTAATGTGTTAACATACCTTTTCCAGCAAATAACTGATGACCAAAAATCCTCTGTTCTGCACCATTTGCTGCTGTATCGCTGGTGAGCATTCTATCAAGTCTCCCAGCAAGCCTATCAAATTTGCACTGGGGGGGGGGAGGAAAAAATAAAAGTAAAACTTGACAATAGAAGAGGACACCCTGCTCTAAAAAGATGAACAACTTGATATATCTTGTACTAGAATGTTATCTGGAAATAGTGCTTGCAGGAAGAAGACACATACCAGGTAGAATAGTCCACCTCACTAGCCTTATCAGGGCCTCTGTCTACAGGCAGATCTAACTGACCAAAGAGAGGAAAGAGTATCTGCACCCCACCCAGAGAGTGGAGAGTGCTGTGAATGGAATGGGTGATGACAGCTTTCACTTCCTGCAGAGACAAAATAAATTGTACATCATCACTCTGTTGGGTTGTTATGTCATTAATTAAAATACATTGATTGGTACTCATTAAACTATCAATAGGGAAAACTGAAGCTATTTATTTGCTATTTTGCTAGCATCATCATGACTGCCCTTCTTCCGGCTAAGGTATGGGTCGCCAACTAAAACGCCCAAAGTCCTCAGTCCTGTACCATCTTCTCAATCTGACCCCAATTGAAGCCCATCTTTGTAGTTCCAGCTTAATGTTGTGTCGCAAGGTGTTTCTTGGTCTACCTCTTCTGTGCTTACCTCACTGGTTCCACCTCAATGCCTGACTGGCGACCATTGGTAGATAGTCTGTGCAGTATGTGCCTACCCCATCTGCTCTTCTTAACTTCTTCATCCGCAGAAAATTTTCCTATTATTTCCCATAGGTTTGCCTTGTTGATGGTGTGAGGCCATTTTTCTAGCATCACTACCCTCGCCTTGAGACTTACACTAATCCTTAACCCTGACCCAGCAAAAAATAAACTTGTCAAAATATACAAGGGAACTAATTATGTCAGCCAAGAGGGTCTAGCAATGTGAAAGTAGCTCCCCTTCCTGTTAGGTTGTCATGGTGACACCACCCTTAATATAAATACTACAGCTTGTTGTGTTTGACTTCTTGTATTTATCTAAATAAATACTCTTTGTAAACTATACCGAACTTTAGTAAGAAGCGTCTTATTTTACGTCATATTTATTCCTAGATAATTGATCTGAATAATGTAATATTTTTAATGGCAACCCCATAAACAGACAAGCTACTAAATCACTTGGCAAACACACTTAGGATTACCTGGCACATCATAGCATGTGGTGAATGAAGGAAGTAAGACTGGTTTCCCTTTGGTGAAGACTCAAGACACAGCTGACTATCACAGGCAATGGGGTTGTACATGAACACTATAGCACTGGTCAACTTCCCATCATACAAAACCTTAAAACACAAGTAAAAAAAACCATTTGGTTATGTTAACACTCTCAATAGTGAAAACTGCAGTGGTCTGAAATAATTATTAGAAATGCATAACATTTGTTACAGATGCGGATTATCATGTTTAAGTACAGTAGTAAATATAGACCTTTGTAAATACTTAAATGATTATTGTATCATGAATAAGAATGATTGTTTTGTTTTAATGTTTATACGGTATTTACTTCTTATATATACATTTTTTTAAACTAACATAAAACACAGTGCCATTTTACAACAGTTTTACAGACAAGTTTAATTCAAAATAAACTTATAAACATAGAAAAGGTACATCAAAACATAATAACAAAAGTTACCTCCCCTTATCTCATTTATGCTCCTTTATCTTGCCTAATAAGATGTCAGAATTTTGTATTATGCAAGTAAGCCATAGGCGTAGCGAGGGAGGGGGTACATATGTCCCCGGGCGCCGACCCTAGGGGGCGCCAAAATGGGTTGGAAAAAAATTTTATCTGCAGTTTTGCATTATAAATATAAATATATATATGGGGGGAGGCTGCAAATTGAAAGTTTGTCCCGCCTCTGAAGTAACATTTAGAAGTCTTCCATATAATGTACCAGTTATCATCAATACTTATGAACTTCTAGTTTTTTTAATATGCAAAGTAGAACACTCTGCCTCACTGTATTAGGGGTAGTAAATCAGAGTATGTCTAAAAAATAAAATATCATTCAGAAGTTCAATTTTTATCAAAATTAATATCAAAGGAAAAAAAGAAAGGAAAATGAAATTAAAACAAACAGAATATGACCTTGTAAAGAAAAACCTGTGTCAGAAAAAAAAAAGTAATTAATAGAAAAACAAAGCATGGCAAAAATCAGTATTTTTTTTCACATGCAAATGTCTTTCACATGCAAATAAGCAAATGTCAGTCATAATATAAGCATACTGTAGTGGGGTCAAATTCTACAGCATTTATTTTTCTCCAGCGTAATAACTGCATTTAATCCTCAGATTAATAATTAAAAGAAAAATCTTTTTTAAAATCCAATAACTCAAAGCCCTATTGAGTTCAGAGAGAAAATATTTCATATGGAATCAATAATGGACAGGCAGGGGGCATCATCCTCAGAATTTTCATGTCAATAATATTATAAAACCTCTATTCATTCAACATGGATCAAAACATAGAAATGCAAAGGCAACATAACTGGAATATTCATACCATCACAAAATTGTCTATGTATTCATTCAAGATAGATCGTACAAACATGCTGTAAGAGGGTTAGTGCCTGGCCTGCAACATTCTGTGCATTACAAAACTCAGCAACGCCATGTAGTGAGCTAGCAGACTCCAATGGAACAGATACACAAGAAACTTTCAGAGGAGGCCTACCATAGTCACATACACAGAGACCAAAAACATTGGCATCACTATGTTGAAAAAAAAACTCATCTAAATAGACAAGTAAATTTACTAATTTCAAACTTTAAAAACTTTCCATTTAAATTTTTTGTGAATAGAACTGAAGAAGGCTAGATTTTTTCCGTATTATTTTAAAATTTTGCTAAACAATTCATAACGACGTAATAATCATAATTTTAAAAAAATGTTTGGTTGAAGTAAAATGGGTGTACTCGTGTACGTGGTTTCTGGTAGCCAACATGGAACCAGTGTGTACAGATCTGTTACCTGGAACACATCCTGCAGCCATAAACCCATCTCCTGCAATTTTTTGAAGTCCCGCATTTTTATCCTCTACAAATGTTGCCAGTTGCAAGAGTGACAGAAGAGAGGGCAAAATAATATAAAAATCATACAAGAAAAATTAAACAAACTCAACTTAAAATTGATTTTTCTAGCACTGACGTATTTCATTAGACATATTTAATAACCATATTTCTCTAGCAATATTTCTATTATAATGCACTAACCCTCTAAACAAAAGGGACTTTCCATCCATTGTCTGGGCAATCATATCATGTAAACAAAAGATAGACCACAAATAGCATGCTCAATAAACCTTCATTGTTTATTAATGATTAATATCTACCAAGGCAACTAAGTCCCAAATGTGTAGTTAAAAGCCAGCATCCAGTTTTTTAAAATCCAGTTTGGATTATGCAAGTAATATAACTATTAACCATTTTAACATACTGACCCATTATAACAAGGGTTAATGTGAAACAAACCAGAGATTTAACCTTTTAAGAGTCACGGTCAATCTGAATCAAAAAGTTGATTTCAATGAAGTTTAAAAACTATAATTGTATAACCACATCATATAAGGTGAGTCATGAGAAAGTATACAGTTGGGTTTGAACACTATGAAAATGTATGAGACACTAATTCGCAACTGACAAATACTCTCAACTTAAGAACAGGTGCTTTCATTCTGAAGAATATTTTTCAATTCAATTATATCTCAATAAAAAAAATTACAATCCGACTGAAACAGCACGGATTAATCCCCCTTAACTAACATTAAGACACTACCATGATAGCACCAAGATTTTTCATAGATCAAATTTTAAATGTAGTATTTGAACTATCTTTTTTTGTATATTAATAAATTTAAATATGTACTATAATTTTTTTTTTATATTGACCATGACCACCACAGGGTTAAGGCTGATAACTGAAACCTAGCATGCACCTAGCAATTTCAGGTTAATTTTAACATCAGGAAGACAACTTGCAGTTCTAGAGAAATGGCACTTATATGTTAGTAGACATCAAAAGTAAAATAATACACAATATAAAAAATAAATTAATTCTACATACTAAGAAAATGAGTTGCCTTTACAAAATAATTAAAAATTGTGGTTTAAGCTTTTTAAAAACATTAAACTTCGAAACATTAAACCTTTTAACTAACTAAAACACAGAACCAACTAAAGCAGTATAAAACTTGAAAGTAGAATAAATGTCACAATAAAGTATCACTTCTAAAGAACTGCATGGCTGAGATTAGTTAAAATTTGTCTCCAATGTAGCTGAATATTGTGACAACAATCAATCCAAAAAAAAAAACATTGAAACATGTATGTGATTGATATATACCCTTTCATGAGCGTCTGAAACCATGTTTAAACTCTCATTGTCAAACCGGAACTGGCTCTGTGTAAAGAAGAGAAAGGTCACACCTGGTTAGGTTAAAGCAAACAATGTGGCAGGCAGGAACTCACCCAAAGGTCATTGCTGGACGTCTGCTAAAACTTCTTACAAAGAATATATGACTGAAATACTGGCATTAGCTGTATAGATAAATATTGTTTGCACTGTATACAACTTTGTCAAAATGTTTTTACTTTAATTGGTACTGAAGGTTTTTAAAATTGATAGCTCATGGGACATTTAAGAAAAAACAACGCTTATTATTATTGAATAGGACTGGTCAATAAAAAAACTTTACTCTGTTACTACAAGAATGGCATGTTAATACAGAAGATTAGCATTGAAAAGGAAAGTTATTAATTTAGCACATGAAAATGAATGTTTTAGTTAAGGCCACAGTTAATAGGAAAAGTTTTTAACAGGGCAATGCAGTGGGTGATTTACCTTGTATCCTGGGCCCAGGTGGTACATGGCTAAAATCTGCTGGGGCAGCAATGCATCACTGAATAAATAAAGGGTGGACATCTGACCACAGAACATCTCCTCTGGGTCCCCATCTACACTTGAACCAATGTAGCATTTGTCAAAGGGCTGGAGAGATGAGACGAATGTTAGGATTATTGAAAGTTGTAATTCTTGACATCCAAATCTTTGCACTAATCAATGTACTACTTTTTGAACTTAATAACCTTACTGATTTTAATAATTAGCAGTAAAAACAAATTTAAAAGCCTATGAAAAATTATTTTCCAATCAGTTGAGTTTTTTTTTTAAATTATGAGAACATGAGAGGACAACCTAATGATTGTTCACTTGCTCGTTACAAACATGTGCCTCACCCAACTGACAACATATAACATAACTCTAACCCTAGACAACACTACAATCAACAAGCTAAACATGATCAAGCGATAAGAAAAATTGAAAAAATATATTTTTTGTTCAAATTTCTATTTCTAAAATCCACCAGGGTGGATTATCTGGGAGACAGCATGGTGGGATGGTAGAGCTCACAACTGCTAACCAGTAAGTCTTTAGTGCAGATCCCTGAAGAGTACACTCAGCTCTGGTGGGCACCTGTCTCATGTTAGGGCAACCAAGGAGGCTGGGCTGACCACACTATCCCCTTGTATGCCCTGGTCGGTGAAACAGATGAACTCTACTTCATCTGCCCTATGTGTCTTGGGCACTGCCCTATGTGTCTTGGGCAGAAATGAGAAGATGCTGAGGATAATGAGGGTGTCTATTCGCCTGGGTCTATCTTACCACCTTACATCTGATGGGGCACTTGTATATAACCATCTTACATCTGATGTGCCACTACCATCTAACCATCTTACATCTGATGTGCCACTACCATCTAACCATCTTACATCTGATGTGCCACTACCATCTAAACATCTTACATCTGATGTGCCACTACCATCTAACCATCTTACATCTGATGTGCCACTACCATCTAAACATCTTACATCTGATGTGCCACTACCATCTAAACATCTTACATCTGATGTGCCACTACCATCTAACCATTTTACATCTGACATGGCACTACTATCTAACCATCTTACATCTGATGTGCCACTAACATCTAACCATCTTACATCTGATGTGTCACTACCATCTAACCATCTTACATCTGACATGGCACTACCATCTAACCATCTTACATCTGATGTGCCACTACTATCTAACCATCATACATCTGACATGGCACTACCATCTAACCATCTTACATCTGATGTGCCACTACCATCTAACCATCTTACATCTGATGTGGACACCAGCCATGACATGTCCGCTGATGAGTTGAGCTGACCATCAACATAGCACCTGACCTCTGACTTGCTCCATCTGTTGTACACATGGACCAGTGTTATCATGTACCACTGTCAACAAAACAAGATTACACATGTAGTCGGGTAGTGAGCACAGTTTAAACTGAAACAAAGTTTATATAACAACCCTAACACTAAAGTAGTACATCCTTTAGAACTGAATAGGGTGGATGAATTAGTTCCTCTGAGCTAAGCACATTAAGAGAATAGTGTAACAATAACCTAGCATCAATAACCCTAGCATCTATTACCACCTCCAGCATTACCCAGACCACCCCACCCACCAACCCTAGCATCTATCACCACCTCCATAAACCCCCTCTACCATTACCCAGACCACCCCACCCACCAACCCTAGCATCTATCACCACCTCCATAAACCCCCTCTACTATTACCCAGACCACCCCACCCACCAACCCTAGCATCTATCACCACCTCCATCAAACCCCCCCCCACCTAGCATTACCCAGACCACCCCACCCACCAACCCTAGCATCTATCACCACCCCCATAAACCCCCTCTACCATTACCCAGACCACCTCACCCACCAATTCTAGCATCTATCACCACCTCCATAAACCCCCTCTACCATTACCCAGACCACCCCACCCACCAACCCTAGCATCTATCACCACCTCCATAAACCCCCTCTACCATTACCCAGACCACCCCACCCACCAACCCTAGCATCTATCACCACCTCCATAAACCCCCTCTACCATCACCCAGACCACTCCACCCACCACACCTGGTGGGTCCAGGCCTTAGCCTATTCCTGATACTAACAGTAAAATAGCCAGAACAACCTCAATATGCAATGTATTACTTGTTAGTTTTTCCTTTTTCTTCACTTGCTAAACTTTCCTAACCATTCAAACTTATCTAAGCAAAGACTGACCTGTCGGGGCTGGAAGTCATATTTCACACAGTGCTGAAAGCCTTTGCCTTTGATTTTCATAGAAGTAATGACCAAAGATCCACCAACAAAATGGGCAGAATAGCCTATGCCTTTGCTTGTGCGGAAACTAAAAAACATAATTCATTTAATTAATCCATTTTAACAATCAATTACATATTTTATACATGTATTTTTTCCTAAACTGCTTTAATAGAGATTTAATTTACAGATTGCTAAAATTCTACACAAGCGTTTAAACATCAATCATTTAACCTTACCACAATAATACCACTCAATAGCTAAACAAAAAATGTTGATTCTATAAGACATTTATAAATACCCACATCAAATATTAATTAACACAACATTGTGACATATTTAAGAGGAATAACATGGGATGTGACTATTTAGTAATTACCCTAAACAGAAAGCTAAAAGGTCAATAAAAATATTCTTTAATAGAAAAGATTTTTTTTTACACTTTATCGGATACTTCTCAAACTTTAAACCAGTGAAATATTATACCATTCCTCCCGCTGGAGACATCATTAAAAAAAATGACCCAAGGGAGGCCATCCTGACAAAGAAAACTAACCAGTACAAATATGGCTTCTCCCTTTCCACATTGACTCCAGTTACTGGATCAAGACGGATCCAACAAGAAAAGGTCCATCCGTTTTGATAGGGCCAAGTTTTAATTGGTGGTAAGGCAATGTGCTGTTGAAGTCAAATAAAGAAAGGCTAGGTGATACATAAACAGGATTAACATTCATTTTTTTAACATCAATTTTTTTTTCAGTAACAGCATCAAAATATCCTTAGCAGTGATGAACACAATATTATAGTAAGATACTACAATATAGCTGGAGTTTCTCATAAATTGTTAATTTTTTTTTAAATTTATCATCAAATGCTAGGGGGGAAGGTGTGGCCTTGTGGTAGTACACTAGACTGCAAACCCAAATGCCTCGAGTTCAAATCCAAATTCATGAAGGCTTGCCCCATGGACCCCCAGGTTAAAAAGGGAAGTTTATCAAATGCTTGGTCAAGCAATAAATTTTTTTTAAATTAATACAATAACAGATCTTGGGGGAAAAAATCTTTTAGTGAAGAATACTAAGTCTCTCACCGATCCCTTTTTACCAGGAAAACTGAAGAACTCATCTGGTCCCTGGCGCTGAGGCATGTGCCGCAACACTGATATTAATTTGGTGGAATGTCGTTGCTGTAATAGAAAAAAAATATTTTTTTACACGGATATTAATTTGGTGGAATGTCGTTGCTAAAATAGACAAAAATATTTTTTTCAATGTGTAATAAACAAAAAACACAGCCAATTAAAACTTTAGAAGTAAATTTACTTTTCTAATTAAATTCAAGTATTTATTTTTAATACTAAATTATTAGTGTTTAAATGCTTTAATCTACTTAATAATAAATCATGCTTTTCAGCATTAAATATAGCAAGTTAAAAGGATAATTATTAATGTCGATCAATATTTTAAACCTCTATTATCAATCAAAGAGATAATTTAAAAGTCATACATCATAATAAATGTCAAGTTGAAAATGTGAAATTAACTTTTTAAGATGAATATTTTGTTTAAATCTTCAGAATCAACTTTATAAACTAAAGCCTTAAGAATCAACTTTATAAACTAAAGACTTACCCAAACATTGTTCCTAGCTTTCATCAATGAAAACACACACTTCAACTCCTTGACAGTGATGCTATAGCTAGCCAAGGCTCCTAACATATCAATGATTAAATCTAAAAGAAAGAGAATAATTTATTTTTTAAATTTTCATTTTCTCAATCATTTTAACAAAAGTACATTCACATTCTTGCAAATCTTTAGTAAGATTAAAATTAGTTTATTTCAAAAGATTGCATAAAGATTGAACAAGAAAAGTTTATAGAATATGTACATTACTGTTATTGATAAATTGGAAATGTATTGTTGTACTTATCCTTAATGCAAAAATAATAGTATTTTAAATCCAATGACATTTTTTAATGCAATTAAATTTAAAAGGTTTTTTTCAGAGTGCATCTAATTTATAAAGTCAAACAGTTAGCAATTGAAATTTTTTTTTATTTCTAAAAAGAAATTATTTATCAAAACTGTAATTTTTAAATAAATAAAAAGGAATAGACCCAGTTATGATTTCCGGTATATGCATTAAAATTACTTGGCCTACGTCATAATTATTAAGCGTATTACTGTTTTGCAAGTAGCATTAAAAAGCTTGTTCAATTAAATTTTTTAGGTGCTGTTTTATGTGACACACAACACAATAGGCAATTCTGTTACATACACCAGAGGGCAATATATAAATCTGGTACTTAATCATATAATTAACACTTAAGTCTATCAATAAAGTATTTGAGTAAGATTTTTGTATTACTGAATGTTTGTAACATTGAATTTGGTATGCATGTTTGTAATTTTATTGTTTTATCTTAAAATGAAACCAAATTTCAACAGCAGACAAGAGAATAAGTTTAAATAAATCATTTACACATACAATAAAACATATTACTTTAAATATCCAATTAATTAAGTACCTAAAATAATAAAACAGATATTAACATGCTAAAATATCCAAACAATGATGACAACATTCATGCTGTCACCCCTAAAAACAAAATGAGGTCAACCCATCACCACATTTCTATCAGTGTGCTTCTACCAGGTGAAAAGAATAAATAATATAAACAATAGTTGACTTTAAAAAAACAATATAATATTAAAAGCTTCAAGATTGAGAGACAGGTTTATGCATATGTGAAGAGGGATACCCTGGTGAAAATGTATTAGCAACAGAAAAGGAAATAATTAGCCTTTCAACCAAAAGCAAAAAAACCCTCGTTTTAAAATAGCTATACAGTGTGAATGTCTTAGGTGAATTGGCATGCATGGTCCCTGGTGTTGCTTTTTCAATTTAAATCTTAATAAAGGGTAGTGAAAATTGATACGCTGATATTGCATTTACAAATTTAGATGACAAAATCATCAAAGCAAATATATGGGCGACAAATTTAATAGCCTGCCCTATAGAAAATATATATGCAATAAAATAGATTGTCTGCTATTAAAAATATACAGAAGGCAGACATGTATATTCCACCACAATTATAAATATATGGACAAAAAAAGAATGTCTGCCCCTACAATAAATACTTGGGAACCCATATTGATTTTTCTGCCATATAATAAACATATAGAAGGCAAAATTTATACTCTGCAAAGATCTATACTCTGTCCATATAATAAATATATGGATGCCAAAATCTATACCCTGCCCCTGTAACATATATGGAGGCCAAAATCTATACTCTGCCCCTGTAACATATATGGAGGCTAAAATCTATACTCTGCCCCTGTAACATATATGGAGGTCAAAATCTAAACTCTGTCCCTGTAACATATATGGAGGCTAAAATCTATACTCTGCCCCTGTAACATATATGGAGGTCAAAATCTAAACTCTGTCCCTGTAACATATATGGAGGCTAAAATCTATACTCTGCCCCTGTAACATATATGGAGGTCAAAATCTAAACTCTGTCCCTGTAACATATATGGAGGCTAAAATCTATACTCTGCCCCTGTAACATATATGGAGGCTAAAATCTATACTCTGCCCCTGTAACATATATGGATGCCAAAATCTATACTCTGCCCCTGTAACATATATGGTGGCCAAAATCTATACTCTGCCCCTGTAACTTATATGGACGCCAAAATCTACACTCTGCCCCTGTAACATATATGGTGGTCAAAATCTATACTCTGCCCCTGTAACATATATGGAGACCAAAATCGATTGTTCGTTTTCTGCTCAGGGCGCCATAACGTAAAGCTATGCCGGTGTTCAGTGTTGGAGGTAGAAATTAAAATACGATACATTTGACTAGCGGACAATCTCGTGACTTGCATACACGGGGCAGGTTTTTGTGACAGTGTTGCTAAAGATAAACTCCCTGTAATTGGGTATTTTTTCAGAAAAAAAAGTAATTATCTCCAGTTTTACAACCATCGCTTGTTTGTGTGTAGTGGGTAGGGGGGGGGGGGGGCGATGACGAAAACAAATCCGATAAAATTTTAACTCAGCATTCAAGCAACATGCTGGCAAAAATTGGGGGAAAGAAACCACAACCGGAAATTTCGCTACACCCAAAAGAAATAAAAAGAATAATTAAAAACAAACAAACGCAAATGTGGTCTGTCACACACCCTCACTACATTAAAGACGACGGCTATTACAATTTAACACGAAAACAACAATACTTAATCTTTCGACTCAGAACAGGCCACAACAGACTAAATCAACACATGCACAAAAAACTGAAGGTTGGGTGTAGCGAAATGTGCCCTTGTGGCAAGGCCCCGGAAAACACAGAGCACGTACTCCAGGAATGTTCTCTGTATAGCCAGGCAAGAGGCAGACACTGGCCCCAGCCCACCCCACTCAGGGAAAAATTATATGGGACACCTGACAAACTGGAAACCACAGTCCGGTTTGTCCACGAAGTTGGACTTGTTGTCTGAATCCTCCACCATATTCAAAAATTAAGAACGAAGAAGAAGAAGAAGAAGAAGCAACATGCTCAAAAAAAATTCTGAATTTAAAAAATAAAATAAAAGGAGTACATGCTACAGAAAAACAACTTCAACTTTCTCGTCTTAGACACGTGACCCATTACATCACATACCGCTTGCTCGTTCAAGGAAAGGTCGTGCGAGGGGAGGGTGAGGGGTGTCGTTAGCGATTGGTATTGATGAGTGGGTTTTCGATCGATTAAATTAGTCTCAAAGCGGCTTCGGGTGATAATTGGTATGGGGGCCAAATGTCTCCTAGCTTTTGAAAATAGGTTGCTTTGCAAAGGTAGACTAATGCTACAAAATATTCGTTTTTATGTTAACTTTTGAATAGACAGCTTATCGGAGAGTCGATGGGGTAGATAAATAACAAGGGAGGTTCGGCGAAAGGACGTAACACGTCTCTGTCGTGGACTATCTTGATAAAAAAAAAATAAACTGCTTTATCCCATTAACATGGCAGTCTTCTATATGACATGCGGAACAAACTACAACAGACAACACAACAACGATCAGTATCTTCTTTAATAGACGGACATGCACGTTAAAACACTGCAGAATCCACTAGTACAAAACGATAATCTTATAACTTTCTTATGGTCGATCTCATAAATTTTCTTTAAAATATAACTTAATCCCTTGACGCGTATCTTAATGCAATAATTGAGTGACTGGTGAAATGGTACCTAGTCACCAACTCGTGTTAATGTACGCTAGTTCATGTTGATAAACAAATAAACAAAAACACTCTTCATCCTCCCCTAGTAAAAGAAAAAAAAAACGAAATGTACCCGACATTTCCGATGAATCAAGACACGAAATTAAAATATCGACTTTCGGCCCCCTTTTGTAAACACGAGTTTGTTTATGCCCAGCGCATCCATCGTGTTTTTATTTAAGTCTGTGGGGATTCCCGCAAAGCAATGACGGAATCGATACCAGTTGAAATATGAATCGCTGACAATTGTGAGACAGGTAGACAATGTGGGCAAGCAGTCGGCAGGTGCGTGCAGATTCCAGTTGTGACATGCTTCATGCAGACAAGTGCTCACGTTGTCAGGTGCTGTCAGTGGTCTCGGCGTAAACATGACGACGACAAGGCGTAACAGTAGTGTTTTTAGTATCGGACATGACTGTCAGGGTCTAGGGCTAGGGTGATATTTTGGAACAGTTTTAGATACCAAAGATTACAGAAATACAGAAAAATGGATACGGCCATCCCTGATGGTGAAATGATAATAAATCCCCTGATAAATGATAGGCATCAACACTTTATGCATGCAGCTTTAAACTCAACTGACTTTATGGTATAGTCAATATTTTATTTTCAAAGGTGAACAACAGCTATGCATCGTTGCTGTGGTGTAAGTAATATAAAAAAACAAATAAACAAAGGTGAAAATAGATAAAATAATGAAGCGCACCACTCCGCTGGATAATAAACGAGAACTGAGGTGTCTGTGTAGGACGAGCTCTGTCATGTCTGTAATCAAGGCCAAGTTTACGTACGGTACATCACATCACATGCACGCGTGAACATGCGCGTAGGTGCTGACATGCACACCAGTGTTGACATGCTTTAAGACGACGACACATAGATAACATAGATAACAAGTCGATGGTGGCTCGAGACTGATGCTCCTCACACCCACACTGTCAGATAATAAGATTCTAATACACAGAAAAACGCACTGTCCATTCTTATACCGATCTCACGCAAACAGGTGCGGGGCTATTTGTATTGATTTTATGTGAACCTTCTATTGAAATATTAATAGATTAATATATGTTAATAACAATCAATAATTAATTAACGATGCATTTTTTTCATTCATAATCATAAATGTTAGGACCATTCCAGTTACACACCGAACAAAACACAATATTGAAAATACGCGTGCCCACCAAGTAAGAATGAAAACCAAAGATGTGTGCAGCAGTGTAAGAGACGTCAATGTTAACTCGTGTATCTAGACAGACAGCAAACAGCGATGCAAACAACAGACCCAACATTATAACAAACTGTCCAGGCAAACAAAACTAATGTCCCGACCGCCAATACAACAACAAACGTCATAATAACAACTGTTTAGGCAATCATAACAACAAACACCATCAGTAACAAATGTCACAATATTCACACTCACAGCAACGCCAACAATAA